GAGAGGGATGTCCGACTGCCGGTGTAGGCCCAGATTGTGAGAGGGTGCAGGCCGGGCTGAGGGACCCCCGCCCCATGCACGAATTTTGTGCACTGGGTCTCTAGTAATAAATATTTTTCAAAAGGGTTGGGGGGAGAGGAAATCATACAAACAAAAGGCTAATCTCCAAAGATATAATTCTGAGTTTTAAAACCATCACCTAAAGCAATTGCCTGGGAAACTTGTTTCTTAAAACTCTGATGCCCGAGCCTTATATCAAACCTATAGAATCAGGATCTGTAAGAGTAGGGTATTTGTACAAGGTCACTGAGTAATTCTGAGACAACCAGGAAAGTTTGAGAACCATCATTTAAGAAAATGACTGGTCTCTAAAACAAGATTCATTAACCACTAGGTGGTGCCAGGTTATCAAAGATGGAACTTTCTGGAACATGTATTTTCCTTACAGTATGCAGTGTACTCATTTTCTTTTTCTCTCTCCACATGTACCCAAACTTTTAGAAAAGGATAATGTCACACCAGAATAAACATGTGACTCAGTATCAGTTTGGCAGTTTTTCCTTGAAATCATTTTGGTTATGACAGGCAAGCTTGTTCTGAGGGACTCGGGACAGTGTTTCAGCACTCCTGCCTTAGCACCTTCTTTTCTGGCTGCAAATGTGAGAAAGAAGGAAATCCACTGGGAATAGTGCCTGGTCAGCAATGAATGGCTGGATAAGAGAGAATGAAGTGACAAGTTCCTGAAAGCCATCTAAAACAATGACTTCAAAAATATAGCAGAATCATCAGTTTACTCATTTCTAACTCCCACTGCTTTTGTGCAAAAGTATTTGACAACTTCTTTAACAGTTTGATCCTTTCTTCTTTCTCAGACTTGTTTCATGTTAAAAAAAAATTTCTGTGTGGATGATAATCTCATTTCAAAATTTTTCCAAAGAATACATGTGTTTGAAAGTTGCTTCACATGCAGCCTTACATGTATTTAAATACTTTTTATTTATAAATGTGCTTTGAACAGAAATGGAGTACAGCTCAGCAAGACAAATAATGCAGTTATTCTATTAATCCTACAAGTATCTATGGAGTAACTGTATGGTAGCAGGCACTGTGTTATATACCAGCATAGAAATACAGGGTTGAGCAAAACAAACAACACAGAAGCTTTCATGTACTTGCATTCTAGTTGGGAGAAACATCGGGGGAAAACAAAGAAAGTAAGTAAAAGAGCAAAATAATAACAGATGACAACTCTTTTTTAAAAAAATGAAACAGACCATTCAGGTAAGGCCCTCCAGAGAAATGGCTCTGGTACCCAGGCCTGAAGTGAATGTATACAGTTGTGAGCCAAAACTGAGCAAAAATAAGCTAAACAGCCACCTGAAAATTGAGGAGAAAGTAGCAGAGAAGGATGCCAAGAAGAAGGAGCTCCATAAAGAGCAACTGAGCCAGGCCAATGCTCCTGCCTCCAACCACACCATGGCAACGATGTGGGTGCCAAGGAGGAGAGCCTGGGCTCAACCAATAGTGCAAGATCTGCAGCCAAGCAGTCTACCAACTAACGGTCCTTGGGGAAGACCCATACCCACACAAGTTCCATGGAGATGTCTCACTCACTCACTTCATCCAAGAACAAAGTCAACTGCAGCCTAGGGACCACCTGAGGGACATCACCTTAAAGGTGACAGGTGGGATCCATGACAAAAGAGCTTCTGGGGAAAAACTCATCTTCTATGACCTCTTAGGAGAGGGGGTCAAATTGCAAGTTATGGCCAATTACAGGAATTATAAATCAGAAGAAGAATTTATTCATGTCAATAACAAACTATATTGGGGAGACATAATTGGGGTTTAGGAGAACCCTGGGAAAACCAAAAAGGGTGGGCTAAACATTATTTCCAATGAGAAAGCACTCCTTGCTTGCATATGTTACCTCATCTTCACTTTGGCCTTAAAGGCAAGGAAACACGATATTATCAGGTACTTGGACTTGATTCTGAATGGTTTTATAAGGCAGAAATGTATCATCTGCTCTAAGATCATCACATTTATAAGCAGTTTCTTGCTGAGTTGGGATTCCTAGAGATTGAAACTCCCATAATGAACACCATCTCAGGGGGAGCTGTGACCAAGCCCTTTATCACCTACCACAATGAGCTGGACATGAATTTATTTATGAGAGTTGCTCCAGAACTCTACCATAAGATGCTGATGGCTGGTGGCATTGACCGGGTTTATGAAACTGGATGCCAGTTCTGGAATGAAGGAATTGATTTGACTCCCAATCCTGAGGTCACCACCTGTGAGTTCTACATAGCCTACACAAGCTATCACGAGCTCATGGAAATCATGGAGAAATTATTTCGGGGATGGTGAAGCACATTAACAGCAGTTACAAGGTCACCTACCATCCAGACGGCCCCAACGGCCAAGTCCATGAGACTGATTCACTCCACCCTCCAGAGAGTCAGCAAGATAGAAGATACTGAGAAAGCCTTGCAGGAGAAGCTACCAGACACTAACTTCTTCAAAACTGAAGAAACTCTCAAAATTCTTGATGATACTGGTGTAGAAAAAGCTGTTGAATGCCCTCCACCTAAGACAATAGCCAGGCTTCTTCATAAGCTTGTTGAGGAGTTCCGGGAAGTGGCACATATCAATCCTACATTCATCTGTGATCACTCTCAGATAATGAGACCTTTGGCCAAATGGCACGACTCTGGATATGACTGAGCGCTTTGTCATGAAGGAAATATGCAATGCCTACACCAAGCTGAATAATCCCATGTGGCAAGAACAGCTTTTCAAAGAACAGGCCAAGGAAGCCAAGGTCACTGGCAATGATGAGGCCACGTTTATAGATGAAAACCTATGCACCACTCTGGAATACGGGCTGCCCCCCACAGCTGGCTGGGGCCTGGGCATCAGCCGAGTCACCATGTTTCTCAGAGATGCCAATGACATCAAGGAAGTACTTCTGTTTCCTGCCATGAAACCCAAAGACAAGAAGGAAAAGGTAGTAATTGCTGATACACTGGAAAACACAACAGCTGGCTCTTCTGTCTAGAAAATAATAATTGCAAGTCACATGATTCAGGTATCTTTGCAAAAGGTCAAGGACTGCAGGGAATTCTTGTATATTGCTATCTACTTGACTATTGTAGTTCAGTCACCAGAAGAGGGAAAAAGAATTAAGAATTCCTGTTTTACTCCTTGTTATTAGATAGACTGTCTCTAAAGAACAAGGAGGGGGAAAAGAAGAGAAAATAAGAAAGAAGAGAAGCAGGAGGAGGACAAGGAGGAGGAGGAGGGAGGAAAAGGAAGAGGAAGAAATAAAGGAAGAAGAAGGAGGAGGAGGAGGGGGAGGAGGAGAAGAAGAAAAAATCTATATATATAAAAGGCTAAGCAACCATTTAACAGTCTGACTGGTATCTATGACACGCAATGACCACCAGGGGGCAGATGCTCTGACCAATAGTTATGATGCACACTGACTACCAGGGGAGCAGATGCTCAACGCAAGAGCTGCCGAGCTGTGGTGACTTGGCAGCAGCAGTTCTCAGGTGACACACCACGGAACCAGGGAGGACGGAGCCCGGGATGCATCACCTGAGAACCACCCTCGTGCAATCTGGGACCCCTCGGGGGATGTCGGAGAGCCAGTTTTGGCCCTATCCCTGCAGGCTAGGCCGAGGGACCCCACCTGCCAGAGGGACCCCACTCACTCTGCCACAGTGCCACCCCAGGTGCAGCTGGCCAGGGAGGGACTGCAGGAGGTTGGCTCCAGGGTGTGTCCTGCCTGTCTCACACAGTCCTATGACCCCACCTGCCGGAGGGACCCCACTCACTCTGACACGGTGCCACCCCAGGTGCAGCTGACCGGGGAGGAACTGCAGGAGGTTCCCGTCTCACACAGTCCTGCCTTGCCAGCCACCATCTAATTAATTTCCTTTCCATGTGCACTAATCTGTGCACCGGGGCACTAGTTAAAAATAAAGCAGAGTGGCCCTAGCCGCTGTGGTTAGAGTGTAAGGGCACATATCTCAGTTGCAAGCTTGGTCCCAGACCCTGGTCCGGGCCCATGCAGGGGGCAACTAATCGATGTGTCTCTCTCACATTGATGTTTCTCTCTCTTTGTCTCTCCTCCGCCCTTCCACTCTTTCTAAAAATCAATTAAAAAGATATCCTTGGGTGAGGATTAATAAAAATAAATAAATGAAGCAGAGTGATGTATAGTTTCTGCACAGGTGGAACTGTTTTTGACAGGGTGGTCAGGAAAGGCATCCCTGAGGACGTGACAGTTGAGCTAAGAGTTAATGGTGACACGAAGAGCTGGAGGCCCAGCTATCTAGGTGGAGGGCAGTGCAAATGCAAAGTCCTGGGGGCAGGAACAAGCCCAGCATGTTGCAAATCAGGAAGAAAGCCAATACTGGGGAAGCGTCAGCCAAATGAGGTTGGCAACGTGAACAAAGACCTGGTCAGAGCCATAGATCGCAATTTAGATTTTATTTTTTGTGACATAGGAAATCATCAGAAGGTTTCCAGGAGGAAAGTAAGATGACCTAATTTTGTTTTCCCCCCAAGATCATCTGGGCTCCTGATTGTAGAGGGACACAGCTGAATTTATAAGGTGCCCATAGTAGGCTTTCAGGTTGAGGAGATGCCTATAGAAGGCCTCAAGTTCCCTTATTTGTCTGAGTAGTACCCATGTGGTTTATGAAGAGTTGCCTAACCAATGACTGTGCTACATATCCATACATGGAATGGGAAGTCGGCTTTAAAAAAAATTGGGCACAAATTACATAATCAAATTATTACTGTATTTATAACTTCGTCACCAATCATATGTGCGATATGTATCTGTCCACATCATGCAAAATCTCTGAACTTTCATTGCTGTGGCTGTTAATAATAAGGCAGTAAAATGAGGGTTAATATTTACTAAAGCTGTGACCCGTAACTCAAAGTTTCTAAATCAGCAGAAAGTATTTTTACCAGTGATCAAAAGAACCTCGGGCTAACTTTCCTCAAAACAATAGCTTCTGATTTTTTTCTAATTTATTTCTTCAACTGTAAGGTTAGAAAGCAGAGAGAAAGAACAGAGCTTTGCTGAGGGCCTTTTCTCAACACCGTTTTGCAGAAAAGAAAACTGGAATACGGGGACATTAACCCTTGGCGTCGGAGGCTCCTGACACGGTAGGCTTGGGGTGGGATCAGAAGCCAGCTTTGTCTTATGCTGAAGGTGTGCTCTTCCTTCAGTGCAAAAACCTGGAGTGCAGTCGATAGGAAGAGAGAAGAAAGACTTCCATGACAGACCTGAGAAAAGTGAGTGGTGGGTACTGCTGTAAGCTTCGTGCGGGGAGACTAAGAGGAGCGAGAGGACTGGGGGAGGCCGGAGTGGGGGTATGGGAATGTGATGGCAATAGTTTACAGGGCTACCAAATACAGTTTTGAGCTCTTTAATAGTGTCACCTACCCTACCCTACCACTATTCTTTCTTATTTCTTCTGATAACAGCCCTCTTAAATATATTAGGCCATTACCCCAGGAAGACCCTACCATACTCTCTAAGTCCCTCCTGATCACTTACTAAAACTGAAGATGCTCAAAGTTCCATTCATTTAGCTCAAGCAGTTAACAATAGTTCAGATTTAATTTCCCCTGGGAAGAGCTATTAGCTTCTTACCCTATTAGTAATATGAATATCGGATATGAAGCAGTTCGCTATTGCTGAATAACAAACTACCTCAAAACCTAGGAGTTTAAAACAATTGTTTATTATTTCTCATGAGTCTACAGGTTGGCAGGTAGTTCTACTGACCTAGTCCAATTAGATGTTGGGTGGGCTCAGTCCTGTATCTGTAGTCAGGTAACAGGTCATCTGAGAGCTGAGTGGTCTTTGATAGATGGAATAAATCAACTCTGCTCCATGTGGTCTAATGCTCTGATTCGGCCATATTGTCATGGTGACCACAGAGAAACCAGAGAGGAAGCAGAAACATGCAAGGCTTCTTCAGGTCTCGACTCAGACTGTTACATTATTTTTGTCACATTGTACTGGCCAAAGCAAGTCACAACACCAGCCCATCTTAGAGTGTGCAGAGACTACAAAGTTATCAGGCAAAGGGTATGGATACATAGAGGCCATTAAATTAATTGAAAGCATCAATGCCTTCGATCTAACACAGGGTGAAAGAGCAAACTTCAATTGAAAGAGTAGAAAAAGGGAGATAAAGAATAAAAGTGATTTGCATTCCCAGGAATCTCATGCATGGAAATCTCCTGTTCTATTATCTAGTCTTGACCTCAAGCAAATTGTACTCTTCCTTCTCATTTGTAAAACGTCATCCTAATATTTCCTACCCAAGAAAATCATATCCTCACATACATATTGGTTTACAATGGTCTTAGATTGAAATTAACTGCATACTAAAAATATTTAATCATCTTAGTTCAGACAATTAGATTATTGTTTGATACAAAGTAAGTACCCTTTAATGACATTTTATCCTTCTTCTAATTAATGCGCAACTTTAGTGTTTGCATTAATGACATGGAGGAACAGCTATAAAGGAGGAAGAATTTAAAAAGATCAACTTCCCTGTGAGTTCACTTTCTAGCCTGACAGATTTATCATCAGTAAATATTTATTGAGCCCCCGTAGTGAGGAAAGATCCATGAGGAAGACATTATAAAACATGTTGTAAAAAAAAAAAGCATATTCTGATTATAGAAAGCACAGATGAGACAAGGGTGATAAAATATTAATAACATTTAACAACGAATATCAAAGTTGTTAACTTAGGTAAGTTTAATTTAAATAGTCATAAACTTAAAGGAGTAAACTGAAGACCATTTAGGGGAAACTGGGGTGGAACCTAATATGCTCACCACCTTCTCGAGTGAGGAGAGACGTTGGGATTGGAGTGAGACAGGTCATCATGAGTAAGGGGTCAGTAAAAGTGACCCCACACCAGCATCAAGATAAGATAAAGCTCCTGAGGAGAGAAGGTAATATTATCTTAGGAGTTACATACAGTATCTCCACGTGGTCATTTGCTGACCCACAGATGTGGGTTTCAGGTGTGGTTGAGCCGGTCCAGCTGAGCACACTTGGAAAGAGAAACCTTCAGAAGAGCAACAGGCCAGTGGCGGAAAGGGCTGTCACTGGCCAGATCAGGAGTCAACTCAAAGTTTCTTCCTGGCACTCCACAGAGTTCCTGAAGATCAGCTGGCTTCTAGAAGATGTGGAGAAGACAGCAGTCCCTGCCAGCAAACAGTACCCAGCAGACAATCCAACCTCAAGTTCTGATCTGGAAGACTATGTTCCCCGGAAAGAAACTGAAAATAGATACAGAACTGAAATCGTAAGTGACAGGTCTCTGACCTGGAAAAAAAAAACAGTTGAGAGTCGAATGCTGCCTCTTTCCTTTCTATAACGTCTTTTTGGAATCTGTAGGACAGAACATCTCCTTGTGCAGGAGGTCTTTGGTTGCCCCTGGGGGCATTTTTCTTGTTTATCGTCAAGGGCTTGGCCACAAATAAGAGTGGTCCCGCGTGCTTTAATGTACTCTGGAACAGCCTGACAGGGTGCATTTTGCCTGTAGGCTTACTGCATAGAAGAACTGGCAGAGTTTGTGGTTTTTCATGTTATACGAGCTGAAGAAAGAGAAATCAAGAGGGAGACATGAGCAATGCCAGCAAAGGCTTAAAAAGCGTGGTTGTTGCCCTAGCTGGTTTGGCTCAGTGGATAGAGCGTCGGCCTGCAGATGGAAGGGTCCTGGGTTTGATTCCGGTTAAGGGCACATGCCTGGGTTGTGGGTTTGATCCCCAGTGAGGGGCATGCAGGAGGCAGCTGATCAATGATTCTCTCTCATTGTTGATGTTTCTCTCTCTCTTACCTCTCCCTTCCTCTCTGAAATCAATAAAAAAAAATATATATATATATTTTTTAAAGTGTGGTTGCCATCTGGGACACAATTCGTTCAGAATTCGGTCTTTCCCAGTGAAGGGGAAAAGGGTTCAGAACACACTTGCCCTTTCACATTTGCCGTGTCAGCTCTGTAAGTCCTGGTTTTAAGTTCCTTTTCATCTAAAAAGATGGGTTTGGTTTTAGGTTACATTTCTTTGATTTCCTTGTAAACAGACACTACGAGTTAGGCTTTGGGTTTTTTAGCTTTTGCTTTATTTTCTAGTTTAAATTTTGTGCAACTATTAGCAGAGTACTAAGTACATGTATTTATTTTTTAAAATTCCTCTAGAATTCCAACTACAATTGCTTAAATAAGCCTCAAAGAATCCTATCATCAAAGGAAAGAGAATTTTATGGGAGGTTATTCGGCTCAACCCAGACCAGGGGCAATAAAGAGAAAACCTCCAGGGAGACATGTGAACGCACCAACACTGTCACGGCAGACACTGTGTGTGAGGCGTGATGGGAACAGGAAATTCACGATGAACTGTAAATGGGCTGAGGGGACTAGGAGCCATGTGCTTTGTTTCTCTGGGAGAAGGACTGTGTGTAACAGTGGAAAGATATGTGGCTTTGGAGTCCACAGATCTTCCTCAGAATGCCAGCTCTGCTGCTGTTTAACTGAATGTGTGGACTAGGAAAAGAGACAATGTCTCTTCAGTTTGGCTTTCTTATCTCCAAACTGAGGAGAAATATACCTATTTCCTGGTGTTGTTAGGAGGTTATAATAAAGTTCCCTTCCACTCTTAATCTTCCTCCCTGAGAACCTAATCAGAATGGAACACAGTCCGCCAGAGAAACAATCTAAGTCTCTGAATCACCAAACCCCAACCTACTCTGCAGAGCTTTCCCGGGTGCATGGGGCAGATGTAGAAGTCAGGTACGAGGTTACCCGTGGTCTCAACATAACATCTGACCTGCCTGGGCTAAATGCTCACTCTGGCTATGGTGGAGTTGGTAAGCTGTGACTGTGTTTCAGACTCAGCTTTCTCACAAACAAGCTGCGGACATGGCTTATGTTCACTAAGCTCTCTCTCGGTGCCTCTCCGCCTTCTCTTCTGCAAAATGAGGATAACCCTCTACGAGATCATGTCCAGCATCGCACACAGCATGACCTTTAAAAAACTCGTCCAACTTGTTACCCAATTGGGTTATTTTCTGCATTTTTTCGGTAACGGGTAGAGAATATTTTTCATTTGGTTATTAGTCATGTGCATTTTTTCTTACATAATTTGTGTGCTTTTGACCTGGCTTACATCTTAAGAGATCCTATGAGCTAAATTCTCCAGACTAAACGAGCACAGACCGCACCATCTCAGTCACCTCTTCTGAATTCAGCCCATCCTCACAGTCCTTCACTGTTTCAGAAAAATCGCAGGATGGTCACTAACTTGAAGGAATAGAATCAACAGTAACAAAGAAACATATTAGTATATGAACTCCTTCTCTTTGCCTATCTTTAAGAGGTGATAGTTCAGCCCAGCCTGCATAGCACAGTGGTTGAGCATCAGCCTATGAACCAGGAGGTCATGGTTCAATTCCCAGTCAGGTCACAGGTTTGATCTCCAATGTGGGGCGTGCAGGAGGCATCGGATCAATGATTCTCTCTCATCATTGATGTTTCTATCTTTCTTTCCCTCTCCCTTCCTCTCTGAAATCAATACAAATATATATTTTTAAAAGATGGTAGTTCATGCTCTTCTGAAGGCCTATAGATTCTGAGAGAATCATAATGATTAGTCTTCTTTGTTATCACCGTTGTTACAAACAAGGGCAATAACCACCTAAAAAACATGAGTTCAGGATTATCAGGAAGAGTAAAGGGAAAATACCAGAAGTCTTGGCCCAGGACTTACATAGACATGTATTAAAAATAATAAAAACACATGTCTTCAAGAGGGACAGTGATGATCAAATGCATCATTTCTAAATAAGTTTCTAATTATATTGCTTAAAATGATTAGCCAGACATAAACCCTAACATTTATGGTCAATTCATTTTCAACAAGACGGTTCAATAGGAAATGAACAGCCTTTTCAATAATAGCACCCTGAAAACTGGCAGAAGTGTGAAATGCCAGGACAACATGCAAAAGAATGAAGTGGGACCCCTCCCTCACAACACGAACAGGAAGGAAGTCAGGGAGGATTAAAGAACTAACACTTACATACATGCTAACACTATAAAATCATTGAAAGCATAGAAGTAAATCTTCATGACCTCGGGTCAGGCAATTATTTCTGAGGTACAATGCCACAAGCACATGTGATAAAAGAGAAGACTGATAAATTGGACATTATCTAAATGAAAAGCTTTTGTGCTTCCAAAGACACCTTTGAAAAAGTAAATATTTGGAAATCATATATCTGATAAGGGACTTGTATTCAAAATATGTAAAGGGTTCAACTCAATAATAAAAAGACAAATAACCCAGTTTGATAATGGGCAAAGGATTTAACTAGCTTTTCCCCCCAAAAGATATATAAATGGTCAATAAGCACAGAAAAGATGCTCAATATAATCAGTATTAGGAAAATGCAAATTAAATATATAATAAGATACTGCCATCCACTAAAATCGCTATAATCAAAAAGAAAAAATGTAAGCGTTGGCAAGCATATGGAGAAATTGGGACCCTCACCCATTGCTGGTTAGAATATAAAATGTTGTGGTAATTTTGGAAACAGTTTGGCAATTCCTCAAAAAGTTAAAAACAGCCCTAGCTGGTTTGGCTCAGTGGATAGAGCGTCAGCCTGTGGACTGAAGGATCCCAGGTTTGATTCTGGTCAAGGGCACATGCCCAGGTTGTGGGCTCAATCCCCAGTAGGGGGTGGGCAGGAGGCAGCCGATCAATGATTCTCTCTCATCATTGATGTTTCCATCTCTCTCTCCCTCTGCCTTCCTCTCTGAAATCAATAAAAAAATATATATTTTTTTTAAAAGTTAAAAACAGCAATTTCATTCCCAGGTATATTACCAAAATTATTGAGAATATATATCCACACAATACTTGTACACAAATTTCCATAGCAGCATTACTTATAATATCCAAACTGGAAACAATCCAAATAGCCATCAACTGAAGAATGGATAAATAAAATGTGGCAGATTTATACAATGAAATATTACTTGGTCGTAAAATAGATGAAGTACTAATTCATGCTACAACACGGATGAAATTTGAAAGCATACTAAGTGAAAGAAGCCAGTCACGAAAGATCATATAGTTTGATCCCATTTGTATGAAATGTCCAGAATAGGCACTTTCTTTCTCTATAGATGAGCTATGGAATGTCTCATCTATAGAGACAAAAAGCACATTAGTAGGTTGGTTAGTGGTTGTCTAGGGCAAAAAAGGGGAGATGTAGGGGAGTGAGGAGTAATTCCTAATGGGTGCACAAGGCTTCTTTTCAGAGAGATGAAAATGTGCCAAAATTAACTACAAATGGGTAGTCACAAAACAGTCCTGGTATGCAAAGCATAGGAAATATAGCCAATAATATTGTAAAACTATGCGTGGTGCCAGGTGGGTACTTGAAATGTCATGGGGACAATTTTGTTAAGTATATGATTATCTAACCACTCGGCTGTACCCCTGAAACTAATACAAAATAATCTTGAATGTACACTGTAATAGAAACTTGAAATTTAAAAAATATTTGCTAAGAGCCTGGCCAGCATGGCTCAATGGTTGAACATCGACCGATGAACCAGGAGATCATGGTTTGATTCCCAGTCAGGGCCATGCCTAGCTTGCAGGCTTGGTCCCCAGTAGCGGGTGTTCAGGAGGCAGCCAATCAATGATTCACTCTCATCATTGATGTTTCTATCTCTCTCTCCCTCTCCCTTCCTCTTTGAAATCAATAAAAATATATTTTTTAAACTGCTAAGAGAATAGAACTTAAATGTTCCTGCCAAAAAGAATTAAAGAGAAATAGGTGGAAAAAAGAGAGAAACTATTCTAAAATTAGATGATGGTAGTTATGTAACTCTATAAAAACATACTAGGAACCACTAAGTTATACACTTTAAACAGGTGGATTTTATGTTATATAAATATCTTAAGCTGTTTTTAAAACCTTCAAAAATAGTTATTTTAAATAATGCCCTATGGTTTTGTTTAAATGTTGGTAACAATAATGGTAACACCTCCTGAGTGCTTATTACAGGCCAATATTCAAAGTCTTTACAAGTATTAACTAATTGACTTTCCCAACAAACCTATTAGATACATGCTATTATTTTCCCCATTTTACAGATTAAAAAATTAAAGCTATTAAGTGGCACTGTAAGAATTCAAACACAGAGTCTGTGCTTTTAAGTAAAATATGCACTGGCCCTGGAATCCAAGAACAAACTATGAGGAGGAAATCCCTGATTTTCAGAAAATGGG